TTTCCCTCCTCAATGCTATTATACAAAACTTCTTCCAGCTAGATTCCTTCCAGAATTAGAAAGACATAGCAAGTTTTCTAGAAGACCTAGAGGGGAAGAAGAAAAAGGCACAAAATCTGCATTACTGTCATGAAGTGAAGCGCACTTAAAAAAAATAAATAAATCTGAGGAGTAGAAGAGGATTAGTAGCAGAAGACATCTCTATCAGAACACACTTACATGGTAAAACCTCTCCTCTTGACTGATTCACATTAGTTGAAAATGCTAAAATTCATTTTACCAAAGACAAAGCCAATTCACACCTCTTCTTTCTTTCCACAGGGGTATCACACAAATTTTTAACTAATGTCGTATTCCACTGAAAGAAAACTAAATGTTATTCAAGTGAACAAAAGATGGAGAACTGACATAAAACGAGTGATGTAGACATTTACAGCAATCATAGGACCACTCAATAATTTTGATTTGCTATACAATGTTATTCCCTGCCCTGAAATTAAAGCTGGTCATCAATGGAAAAGAACAGAATTCAGCCCGTATACTCAGCAAGCTGATGGTGACAAACAGAAAGTGGCGTTATTGCAGGAAGATGTGGGAAGTCACGGGCAACAAAAGGGCAAGTAACCTTTTCATGCCTTTTTGGTTTGGTACACAGATTGCGTCATTTTCCCTGATTTTGGAGGATACAAAGCAAGCTGTTCTATCTTCAATCACTACTATGCACAGATCTCAGAATCTGCTACTTCTGTGACACCTGTTACAGAATTTTAAATTTACAGAGATACACACCTTCCAAAATAAGCAGCTGCACAATGCATTTACACTACTACAGTCTCAGACTACAACTTACACGTACATTTTATAATAAGAAAAGATCAGTGAAACCAACAGTAGCTTGTAGTAGCAAGACATCTCTACTCCTGACTCTTAATAAAAGCAAATGAAGAGGTGCAGGGAGACCAAAATTTCTAGGTTCATCAATTAGAAGTCTGTGAAAATATAATACAGACAACCTGTTCATAAGCAGTAGGAGTTATGTTCATTCAGTGGTGCGTACCTGAGCCCCTGGCTGGCTGAGGATCTCCACGTCACTGAATGAAACAAATAGATCTGACTTCCAGCAAGTTGGTCCACTTTGCTGTTTCTTTCTTCAGCAATAAATGTGGATACACTCTCAATTGTATATGTCGCCATGAACAGAGAGATGCTAAGCAAATTAGAAGAGCCAAGTCCTGCTCGCCATTACTTGGACTGAATCTAAGAAGAACCAACATCATTTTAAATAGTAGTACTCTCCCCACTGCCCCCCTTCATAAAACTAATTTCAGAAAAGTCATAATAATCACCTATCCTACTCACTTCAAAAGCACAGCAATCACATAGTTGTGTCTTCTCAACTAAAATATGGTCAGTTCTCCACAGTGAAGACTTAATGTTGTGAAAGGTTTGCTCACTACAACTTCAATGCTACAGAACAGCCACGTACTACAAATTCCCTATCTCTAAGTACTTGGAACAAGTACTTGGCTCCCCCATGAAGACTCAAGCTCTCTAAATACTTTAGGAAGAAATGGGTATTTTTAATTAATAAACATGAACTAGAATTCCAGTGTTAAATTTTCGCAGGGTAAAAAAATACCCCACCCCCCAAACAAAACCTTCCTTCACTCACACAGGTATTCTCTCATTTGAAAGTCTCAATTCACCTCCTACTGTCCGAGACTGTGTTACCTGTCCCTCACACATAAAAAAGTGTCAAAAGGCAAATCACTCTAGGTTCAAGAGAGCTCTTTGTTAATCCTTCTACCATTTAAAACCCTAATAACACCTTCAAATTTCCTGCTATACAAAGATGCACCTTGCACTGAAGTAACTAGGTTTGAAGTTACAAGAATTCTACATGTATTCAGGCAAAATACTCCCCTGAATTCTAATAGACAATATAATACACATAAAAAATATGCCATCTCTGAATAAATTCTAGCTTAGTGAATTAAGTTTTAGTTTGAAGGAAAACAGGTAGCCTGATTGTAACAGCTAGTAAGTTAGATATTGATACTACAAATTATTTTTGAAATTTAAAGTACTTAAAGAGCTTTTCTTATGCAGCACTTCTCACCAACAAGGTCCATGAAAAAAACAAATCAGTAAAATGAAAACATTCAAACCCAAACAAGAGCTAACCATATCTCATGAGGGAGAGCAGGTAAGTGCAAAGCAGCAGCAAGAAATAGCAGACTCCTATTCCTATGAGCACTTTCTTTATTCCAGAAGAGCTGGAATAAAGTCCCTTTGAAAGTTTTTGACAG